CCTGCTCACTCCTTTCCTCTGGCTGCAATTCAGGGATTCCAGTTTTCCATATTGAGGTCTGCTCTCATATGGTGCTCTGGTGATTACAAGAACCTATTTAGTTAGATAATTAGCAAAATTCAGCCTTAGACAAGTCAAATTTCTTTTATTATGGAAACTAATTTGAACCCTCAGCATTTATTTGTTGGCAAGTCTATTGAGATGATGTTTTCCTAGTTGTGAAAATTACATCAAATAGTGGTGCCAAAGTGAGCAGGGCAATGATTTGTCATGTGATGTGGTTCAGCTAGGGAGAAAAAATAATGGCTGCGTGTGTTAACTATTGGACTCATGGGAGTTCTTTTTATAGTAGCTTGCTGTATTTCTAGTATTAACTTTAAGGCTTCTACTTTTATCATCTGCCCTATGCTTGCCTACCTTAATGCTAATAGTTTTTTCTTTTGCGTGACAGATTCTGGTATCTCAGCAAAGATGCCAGATTCAGCTCAGGAATTGGGAAAACACCATGTAAACACCGAGAGTCAAGCAAGGGAAGACAGTGAATATGTAAGGCTGGTAATATCAAATGGAGCAAGTATAGGAGAAGTTGATGTTGTGCAACCGCAAGCAGAAACAAGAAAAAGATCTTTCATCTGGTGGATCAAGGCCATAATATGGTGTTTTATCACTGTCATAATCGTCCTCATTTCTTTGAAATGGGGAGTGCCATTTGTTTTTGAGAAGGTAATACATTTCGTTTGTGTAACATTCTTTTTTTCCCAACTGTAGGTTAATTTTGTTGATGTCAATATGAGAAACATGCAATAGAGACAAGCAATTAATTCCATCAATACAAAAGGCTAAGTTTCAATTCATTAATTCATTAATAAAGATAAGCCATTATTTCCATCCATACAAAAGGCTAAGTTTCATAGAGCTTTAATTGGCTACATAAAAGATGGATCGTGAAAAACACAGCAAGAATGACAAAAGCCTTTAAAACTAATGTTGTTTATAGCGTAAGATACACGATATGATCGTATGTTATGTTCTAATACAATGACTGATACAATGAAAAAATGATACGAACACTAAATGGTGAAACGAGGAAGTTTCGCAAGACATTTGTTTTTACCCTAAATAGTGAAATCATGTTGTTTTGCAAAACTGTTTTTTACCCTAAACAGTGAAATGTTGTCAAACAGATAATGCTCACGTTTGTTGTCTTCTCCTCACACGACCCTACTCATCCTCCTCCTCCTCCAAACAGACAAAATTCTAGTTAGACTTGAATCTCTGTCATGAAGATGAAGGTTCGTTTCTCGTTTGATCTTTATCACAAACACGTAGGAGCGACTCGAAATAACATTTATATTATTTGGACCTCATACTTATTTATTGTAGGCAAGGATCAAAATATCGTGTCGAAACATTTCCGTTTCTAAGAAGACCGAAACGAATCATTGATTGAATCGAAATTTCAATACTTCAAGATATTTTGGAATATTGAGTTTTTTTCGAGATGATTCAATATATTTTTACCAATGTTTTGGAATGTTTCGGATGTTGCAAGATCTTTAACTATATTTAGACTAATACTTTGAAATGTTTTGAAAATAAATCTCAAAATTTTTATCCATTTTTATTATGTTTTCGAAATATTTTCAAAACTTTTTTATTTCTTAGGTGTCTTAAACAATGCGCCGAAACGATATTTTTATCCTTAATTTTAGGTATAGATATTTATTTATCTATTTTTTAAAAAACTAAGTGTATATTATACGTTATAGGGTAAATTTCACTTTGCACCATGAAAGATTTAAGAATTTTCACTTTACATCTTGAAAGATTAGATTTTTCGCATTGCACTCTGAATGTATTAAAAGGGTTGCAATATGGTCTTTTTCTTAGCTTTCGTTACTCATTCTATCAATGTTAGTGGGGTGATTTTTTACGGAATAAGCAACGGAAGCTAACAAAAATGCCACATTGTAACACTTACATTGATGGTGTAATGTGAAAAATCTAATTTTTGAGAGTTCAAAGTGAAAAATTTTAAATCTTTCAAGGTGTAAAGTGCAAGTCCCCTACTTTGTAATATATGATACATTATTTTCGGAAAACAATACAAGTTGCAATACACAATTGAACAACTTTGTTTAAAGCAACAAGAATTGTAACATAAAGCTTCTAAGCAAAGATTCATTAGATTAGATTTGTCATTTAAAAAAAATAATATTAATATACTAGTTATATAAACTCTATAAAAATATTATAAAATTAAAATAAAAAATGCAAAAAGTCTGCGGGTCAAGCAAGGATTGGTCAAGCTTTCCGAACCTAAGAGACTAGATGAGGTGGGATGAATAGGAGATCCCAAATTGTAACACCCCCACCTTAGGTCTTAGAAATTGCCTTTTGGTCCTTTAATTTGTTGTGAAGTTTCAAGATGTTATTTAGTTGCCCCCTTCAAGTGTGGACCTTTCGAAAGTAGTAGTTCTTAATCTTTTGTTGTATTTTCTTTCACTCTTTGTTAGCGTACCTGGTTTCAAATTTCCAACTTTGTTGTAGATGTAAAGAAGTACAAATTACTAACATTGTTTATTTTTCTGACTATTGTATCTTGGCGGGTACTATTTAGAAGAAGAGATCTTCAGATAGTGATGATTATGATTATAAAGGTGGTGGTGAAGTTTCAATTTATAAGCCCTACAAATGATTTTTAGACATTGTCACTGATTCTAGTATTTGTTTCTATATTTTTTGGTAAGTATTCTTGTTACTATATTGCATAGACACTTTGGTTCGTCCATAATTTCTCGTTTTATTTTTGTAAGTAAAATTAGAGAATTCATTTCAACACCTTCACATGTATATATTCGTCATAGCAAGACTGAAATGCTGATCTTTGGTTATTATGTGTTTGATCAGATGACACAGCATAGACATCAATGTAGTGTAAAAAATTTTGACTTGAAATATATATAATCTCTAAGTTTTAAGAAATTTAGATGTTTTGACAATAGTATAAACTTAACCATATCTTCATTATTAAAATACTATTTAAACGGAGAATTGTTGCCATGTAGCAACTATCTGTACATATATCAACTTGGCACATTAAACCTATGTTCATTAAGTCTGCCGCAGGTTCTCCTTCCAATCATGCAATGGGAAGCCACTGCCTTTGGTCGTCCAGTTCTTGCGCTTGTACTTGTTGCTTCTCTGGCCTTATTCCCAGTGTTTTTGATTCCTTCTGGTCCATCGATGTGGCTGGCGGGAATGATTTTTGGATATGGTATTGGGTTTGTTATAATCATGGTCGGGACAACTATTGGGATGATCCTGCCATATTTGATCGGTTTGCTCTTCCGTGATCGAATTCATGTAAGGCACCAAGAAATGTTTTGCAATGCCTGTATGAAGTTGTTTTTGATGATTTTTATTTTTCATTCTTTTGATGTGTGTCCCTTTTTCCATGGGCAGCAATGGTTAAAGAGATGGCCTCAGAAAGCTGCTATGATTAGATTGGCTGGGGAAGGGAGCTGGTTCCATCAGTTTCGAGTGGTTGCACTATTTAGGGTTTCCCCATTTCCGTACACAATTTTCAATTATGCAATTGTGGTGACAAGTATGACATTTTGGCCCTATTTATGTGGATCAGTTGCAGGAATGGTTCCAGAAGCCTTCATCTACATTTATAGGTTAGTTTTCCGAATTATTCTCCACCCCTCCCCCCAAAAATGATTTAACTCTTTAAACCTTCTCTAGTTTTAAGACATTATTTTTAAAGCTATGGTAGTTTTCTCTTATTAAAAAGCTATAAAAAGCCTTTTCCAGTCAGTTTAATAACCACAAGGAACACCTCTTTGAAGATGTGTGTCTGTCCATTTATGTAGTTGATCACAAACATGTCTCCACCAAAATCCTCATGCTCATAAATTAGATCATTTGCGCAAGTTCCTGTAGAATGTAGGATTTGTTATCTTTCTGTTTTGATTGCCGCTAATTTATATTTGTGCTCATTACGTTTTCTTTCCATTCTTGTCTGCAGTGGTCGATTAATAAGGACATTAGCAGATGTCCAGTATGGGAACCATCACCTGACTACAGTGGAAATCATTTACAATGTTATCTCCTTTATTGTTGCAATCATCACCACAATTGCTTTTACTGTTTATGCAAAGAGAACACTGAAAGAACTTGAAAGAACAAAGACTGGTGATGAAGGCTCTGCCCATGACAATAGCAACTGCGAGATGGAGAAGCTTCCGCTTGAAAGACCCAAGCATCGGGGTGTTTCGTCATCCTTGTCATAGCCTGTATGTGGTTTAGGTAGGTGGTTGTATATAATTTGAGGTTTTGTTGGGGATTGTATTCCCTGATATTTTGTAACTTGAAAAATGAAAAAATAATATGCTACTTCACTTACAAACTTTTCTACATGAATTCCATGTGAACCGTTGCCACTAATCAGTTGATGGTTGTGGTGGTGTCCCAGCAACTGTTGAAAAGAGCTGGTAAGAAGAGCATTACTGAATGAAAAAACACAAGAAATATGATCTGTAAATATGAAATTACCTTTCTTGGGGTAATTAGGTAAATGAAGAAGATAATACTTTATAGATTCCCTGGATTGCATATTCTCTGTGTGTGTGTATTTTTTTGGTGCCTACTGAAAAGATTCACCTTTGCTCGGTAGTTTCAGTTAAAGATACAAGGTATAGTCTGTTGATTTGATTCGAAAATAAAATTGGCATAAAATATTGTAATTGTGATGACAAAGATACCATCATGATTCCTTAAAAATAACAAACAGTGCCCTGTTTAGGCTTCGTATTCTTCCCTCTAACACAAGATGAACATGATACAAACATAACATTTTATGATGTTAACAGAAAAATGACTGCAGTCAAATTTAGATCCACAATCTTAGATCGTTATTCCACAAAAATTACTTTTGCACTAGGGAATTTATAGAGATGTCATGGATGAAACCAAATGGTCAAACTAGTGCCTTTTTATGGACAATCCAAAGGGATGACTTGACTTTGGTCGACACAAGAAATCTCAATTACCGACGTCATATTTGCTTCATCAACAGTTGTACTGTACTCTTTGATATGAACATTTTCAAACCGTTCTTTCGCCATATTATGGGTCTCACTTGAATTCGTGATGAAAGATGTATTCTTTTTCGTTCTTGTCAACGATAATTTTTGTGGTATACGGAAAGCCTTTTTCCATGACCACTTTTGCCTTTTTCTTTTCTTTACTTCAACGGCCCAATCCTTGACTGCGTTTCTCATAGACTCACTAAGGATGCCTTCTCCATACATGCTACCCATCTACATTTAAGAAGGAAGCAATTAGTAAACAAGCATGTCAAACTTGTTACAAAGGAACCTATGGGTTCAGGTAAGCGGGGTCGAGTCACACCCTAGTAAGATGTTCCCCGTGAGTGTAACTATGATTTAGTGTTTCTCTAAATACACGTGATAAAAGAACACATGGACTTGACATACCGACCAATCTGGACTATCTTACCTGTGTCACAAGAGCATATAAAGGTAAGGTGCTGTAGCTGCAAAGCACTTGAACAATCACCCTGCATAATTGTGTTGTGAGAATGATTAGATGAAAGTAAGAAACACTCGCATGAGAAGCAACATATTGGGCATTTTGGTTGGCCTTTACCCTGCAATAAGCCTTGGGATGATGTAGTCCACTTTGTCCATGATGCATGAATGAAATCCATATGTGGTCTGAATTGAAATTAGCAAGTTAACATCAGTGCCATTGCCTGTATGGTACAGAAGTTGTGAAAATGTACTCGGTAAAATAACCTGTGATCTTACCCAGATCCAAAAGAAGAAGGCAATCTCAAACGAATTTTCAAACATGATGAAGTGAATCAGGTAAAGAACAATGCGCGGTCGGCCAAACCAGAAATGTTCATCAGAAGGTTTCACTGCCCCTGTCGTTGTCTCTGCAACCTCTTTCGCCAAGCGGGTAATAATGTGCTCTAATTTAGCACCCACTAGAAGGAGAAGCTGTCATTGCACTCAAATCAGATACTTATGCTAATTTTTAAACACTTCTAAACAATGAACTTACCACTAAGGGTAAAAAGGCCAACCAAAAATAAGTGTGCCATCCTGCATTTTATTGATCCATATACAGGAACAATTAGGAATCTGTAATGAAATAAATAAGAGTGTTCCACAGAGAGCAAAAGAAAGTACCGTTGACATTTAGCAGCAAAGAAACCACCAAAAAGACCCATAAGTATGCGCTGAAGTTCAAAATCAACTCACAGTGTTTAGCATGAAGAATTAAAGTTATTTCAAAACATAGTTCAGCCATTAAATTGTACCTTATGCCAATAATCTTTCGAAAATCAATTTCTAGAGTCCGCAACATATACTTGTGAAAATCAAATGTATGAAGATGAGGATAATGAGCCTAAATAAAAAGCAAAACGCACGATTGAAACATTCATTTTTAACATTGCTATTGGGAATAAAATAACAAAGGAAATTGTTAATTGCTATTATATATGCCGGGAACTTCACCTGTACAAAACCATACCGTAGGGTCACATAGTCTGACTCGGTCACTGATCCATAGAACTGTTTGAAGAATGCTATCTACAAACAAAGCATAAAATAAGGTACAATGGGTTGTGGCCTTATCCTAATCAAAAGACATGTATTCAATTTGCAAGGAATTAAGCTAATGGGGACGAAAAAATATGACTTAGTTTGTTGAACTAATGATGTGACATCATTATTCATATCCAAACATCAAACAATGAAAGATGTAAATATAAGAAAAACAGTGCTTTTAGCTTAAAAGTATTTTCACGAGTGAGTAACAGCAGAGCGATCCAACTTGGGGAAATCCTCCGTTTTTTGCTTCACTTGAGCGATTGATGCAATCCAAGAGGAAGTCAAATCGTTTAACTTTTGTAGTCTTTCAAGCAACAAAGAAGTTCCAATCCTACATAAACTTTTGTAGTACATACACCTGTTTCGGAATGTCCTTGTAAGATATGTACATAAAACTTCTGAAAACCGCTTTTAGTGCCAAATTCTTTACAATATATAAGATGGACTTGCACAGGCTAATCCTGTGATGAAAAATAAACATTTCTCATTTTATTTAATCTAATGTACTAATTATCCAGAAACACTTACGATTTTTTTTCCTTCAAGGAAGCTAAAAACTTTTATGAATTACATTAAGTATCAAAAAAACAAGTAGCTTGCATTGATTTGTTGCTTAGAGCTGATTCTCGGACTTACAATTTTTCAAACTTAATAGTATGGAATTTGGGAGTCAATCACAACTATATAGACAATAATTTAGACGCACCAACAAGCCTTAGGCATATCTTTAGAACTTTACGGAATACAGTTATGCGAGGAAACAAGGATAAAAATATTAACTTGGATAATTTGTTGAAGTTAATGCACTTCCTACTTCAGTGCATGTATCTATTAGATTACTCTTGAGTTCTTATCATTGCCTATTCGTGTACTAGGTTGCCAAGACTCAAGAGTTACTTGAATAAATTCCAAGTACGGGTCTAGAACTAGTAGATACATTGAAGTCTTGTGCTTCCATTTGTAACCAGGGAAGTGAGACGAAACAGAGTAACTGTAATAGTAACATATCTTCAGTTTCTTATTCCTCAATTTTAGATCTCTTGTCAATTGTTTAAAGAAAAAGGCTGGATTGACACAGGAATCTTGCTTATAACCCAAGGGTTTTGCCAGAATTTCATAGGAATAGAAGCTTACCAACCAACCTACAACAGCTGCCTTTCTCCAATGTCTACCAGCACGTAGCTTGAAGATTGGTGATGGCGATGGTGATGGTGATGATGAACGTCGGGAACTACACAAGATTAATTTCATAAAATTAGCTCAAAGAAACCAAAGTACTTCACTTAAATCATACTATTTTTATTAAAGCAATATTTTGCCACAATACTAACGCTGAAGTTGCCCATCTTGTGATATTTTACTCCTGATGGCATCCTCCCAGTTCTTCCACTGACGTATCTAGATATGGAAGACATAAATCACTTCAAATTCAAACTTTAAGGACATTATGTCCCTTAAAAGCAT